TCTGAAGTATAATTTTTTATTGTTTTTATATTTTTCAATATATTTATTTTGTTTGTATAAAATAAAAAAATAATTTTTAACGATACAATAGTCTTCGTTAGGCTTAACATCGACGAAAATTCAACACAAAGCGACACAAACGGAGAAAAATTTCAACATCAGATACGTTAAACTATTTTTTCACACATAATCGGTTATCCGAAATATCAGTTATCCGAACAACCCCAGTCCCCAAATGATTTGGATAATCGACGCTCTACTGTATATTCATTACACTGACATTTCACTGTATTACTGTTACGAAATAAAACAGCACTCTTATCAGCTGAAATCACTTCCTATTTTTAACTCTCAAAGGAAGTAAATAAAATACATTTTATTGGTGAATTTTGTATAACTAGATGATGATGATGATGACGACAATATATATGAGAAACTGATTATTTCCTTTATTTGTAGGACAAATATCTTAAAAATTAAAAATATATGAAGAAAACTCTACAAACATGCTACAAAAAGTGCAATAGAGATATTTAACAGGATGCAGTTAGCATTGCAAGAAAGATACTAACTGCAAAGCTTTCATTCTAAACATATTTTTATGAATTTTATTTATTTCATTATGTATATAATGAATAATGGCATTATTTCTCTAAGAATTTATTAAATTTAAAAAAATTTTGTATTTACAGGTTCTAAGAAATATTCTTTACATATCTATAAATTATTTCTATTGATTAATTCTAAAGTCTTGAAAAAGTGTTATTTTCAAGTTTGACTTAAGAAATATTCAAGTTACTGATATAAGGTTAATTTAATTAGTTTGAAAGCATAACATATTCAAAAGTAAAAGTAAATTTTGATAAAACTTCTGGTTACACAATTCAATGAAAGATTACTTGCAGAATATATTTTGTATTAGTCATGACATTTAATATTTAATAGATTATTAATACTATCATAAATTCACTTCAGTGCTTGAAATAAATTGTAAATATTGTATTTTACAGTTTTGTTAAAACTTTTCAGTGTTCACAAAGTTTTGATTTCTCGTTATTACAACAAATTTAGATTAATATATGTATAAATATATAAGATTTAGATCATACACACCACACACATACACATATATATATATTGATCTAAATAAAATATTTTAGATATTTATTGTGTTTACTGCCATATGTCTAACCATCAATGAGCTGATGAGAGGTCTGTGTTTAAAATTAACATGGACGTAAATCCATGTTAAGTCATATTTGAATAATTTCAGATATTTTAATACATAAAAATATCATAGTTAATTATTTAAACTAAATACAACAAATAAATAAATAATGACTTAAAATTTAAAAATGCAAAAAGAAAATTTAAGATAATTGTTTCTTTGCTTAAATAAAAAATTCACTTTAAGTCTCAAAACTTTAACACATTAAACAATTAGGAAACTTTGTAGTTTACCTGAAGGCTTAATTGAAATCTATTATTCAGACTAACTTCACTAAATAAAACAAGATTTACAAAAATATTTATATAATAATAATTTAAAAAACAATAATACTTTAAATTTCAATTATTATTCTGCTCCAANAGACTTTACTTTTTGAGCTAACTTTTTTATATGATTATTCTACCTAAAAGATTGGCTTTAAAATATTTCCTACTTAAATTATTTTAAGTAAATAAATTATGGAGACTAGAAGCAGTCAACAGGATTTAAGATCTTCAGTTTTGAACCAAAGGACATTCTCTGTGAAGCACAAGTTCAAGCAGAGTAGGCTGCTTTTCTACGTTTATGCCGTTCTTTTTCATCTCTTGAACCCTCTTCTCAAGATCCCGTTTGTCTTTTCCAACAGCCCACCACAATCTGATTGAAAGAACCATTAGAGGAACAGTGAGATCACTTTTGATGTATTTCGAAACGTACAGCAAGGCTATTTCAGCATATTTCTGGGCTTCTGATATATTATCTACTGCATTAAGACAAGCAATTAATATACACAGAGTATAATATGTCGAGAAATGATCCTCACCCAATAACTTTTCTTGAACAAAATACACATTTTCTAAAATAACCGAAGCATCCTCAAATTGTCCCACTTTCATCATCTTATGTGCATCTTGCAGTTCACGATTATAAAAAAATTCAGCTACTTCTATCGACTGTCGTAGTTCACTAATAGAGAAAATGTAAGCAAGTAAATGTTGAAAAGCTACACTTCTTTCTGTAATAACTTCTGCTGTGAAATTTCCTAGTAGGGCTTTCTTAGGAAATGGAAAGTCATTTAAAACAGATGGAAAATGTTTTTTTAGTGATTGATACAAATGCAAAAAATCTGTATATCTGCGTTCAAGCACTCCTGGCTGTCTTTCAAGTCCAGGGACCCTCTTGATTAAAACAGTATAACTCTGTAAAAAGAAAAGATTTTACAATTAAATTACTTGAATATTTAGAAATATATTTAACTATGACATCTCATCAAAATCAAATTCAGCTTATAACCTTAATTATAGAACCATACTGTAGAAACTTAAGGTATACTGTAAATGATAGTTACATTCATGTTAAATATTTTTGAGAATTAAAAATTATGCCAGTCAAAATCAGACCCCCCCTCACAATTAAGTCATAGAAGTGAATTTATATCACAAAAGTATAATTTATTACATCAGATAACTAGTTTCTGGAAAACTGCAAGTAACCAGTTTCATGAAGTCAATATCATAATTAAAACTACATTTTCCAGGAATTTTAAGTTGTGTGTAGAACACTAAAATAGTCTCATATTCTTGATAGTCATAATAAAACATAACAGTTGAAGAAGGGAGGGAGTTTGTAAAGTAATAGTGATCTACAGTATTTGTATTGATAATTATATTCTGTCCAGAAACATATTTTCCTTCTATAAATGAACAAATGATAAATTTTTAAAAACAAAAGAAAACAGTACATTGAAGTTTCAGCTCACTATCCTCTGAGTAGTATGTTACTACTGTTTTCTGAAAGTGATGATTGGAGATATATATATATATATCCAAAATCCAGTGATGTATGGGGATATATATATCACCATACATCACTTTGTAGAATTTAACATGTTTCCAGGAATTCTATATGATGGCAACAGTCTGAAACTGCATCAGTCAGTATAGTGTTGCAAAAGATGTCCAAGATCAACTTTAACATGGAGGGCCTGACAGTTTAATCATGTGTCAATACAGGCAGGTTAGCAGTCATTTCTGATTCTCCAAGTGGATCAGGGAATTCTGAGAATGGAGAAAGGCATTCATTGGTGCAGTTTGTAAGCACAAGAACCTCTATCATCAATAGATTTAGAAAGCCTTTGCTGCTTCATATTATGTTAACATACAAAAATTATCAACTCAAAGCAATGGGATTAGTCAAATTTTCACTTGCAGGATATTTACCACAATAGAAAAGTTGAGACAAGATTAACAATGTAGCAGCATTCTTTCCATCACAGGATGATGTAAAAATAAATAAATAAAAAATAATAATAGTCAATATCATTGGCATAGTTTCCACTGCAGTTTTGCATGAGTAGGAAACAACTTTAACAGTTCTTTTCAGGTTACCAACAGTACCAGTATCTTAAAATGTTTACATATCAATCTTCAATGCTTTCCACATCTGAGGATTCTCATCCATATTTTTTTTTTTTTTTTTGAAGTTTAGCTGAACTGTTATTGATGATTCTGTTTTGTAAAACCACGAAACACATTGAGCTTTCTCCTGTAAAGGCATCATTTTCAATAGTAGCAACTGCAGCTTGTCCAAACTGTTCACAATCTGTTCAACATTCCTAGAGTTTTTTTGCTGTAAGTCTAAATTAGGCCACGAACTTCATGTTTCTACCTATCATAGATTTTGTACACTAAATGTTTGTAATGAGAGAAAGACTAACTACCCTGTATTTTTTAATCATTAATATAACAAAATAGTTTGATAAAGCCCACTTTTTATTGAAATGATCCATGTAAATATATCTTAAATGATAAACACAAATGGAAATTAAAATTCACATTTTTCTTTAAAATAATTCTGACAACTGGATGACCAAGTGGTAAAAGGTGACAGCCTACTACTCTGGGGACTCAAGATTGAATCCGAACAAGTTGAAAAAATTCCCAGGAATTTTCCAGGTAGTTGGTCCTAATTTGTTGGGCCATTCCCCTGACCATCGAGCTGCCCCATTGTAAGCCCAGCCAAACCCACAATGGGCTTGCTAAAAAGAAGGTCTCATATATAATCGTCATAAAATTTATTTTCAAAAATTAATATGAATTGTTTGTTTTGTTTCATATAATGTTTTAACAATTTAAATATATTTTTTCAATGAACATGTTATGAAGTATAAAATAAGGTAGAAAAGTTCCCTGAATTTTCATTAGCACTCTGAGAATGGAACACTCTTTATAACATGCAACTATTATCTAACTTTCATGAACAATTTTAGGAATAGATTAGATCAAAACATCAGGGATTCCTGTATTTAAAATGTTTTACCCTAAATTTCTATTAAAATTCAACTCATGTAAAACTTAATATATTACCAACCGAATGCCGAAAATCTATCGGGCTAGTATAAGGCTAATTATTAAATGAAATTACGTAATCAATTTTCGGCATTCGGTTGGTGTGTAGCTTTATTATATATCGGGTTTAGTGATGTTTGTACTTAATATATTATTGTGCATCAATAAATAACTATTTGAAAGTGCCAAAATTATAAATTCATTTGTATCAAAATTTCTTTATTGAAAACTTTGGTATTTAAAAATAAATTTTAATAAAAGTTTTGTTTTTCAATTACTTAAATAAAAATTAGTGATTAATATTTGCAACAATAGATAATGTTATAAAGTTTATCATATGAATAAGTTATAAAATAAAAGTTTTATATATAAATCTTGCATGTATTTATCAGAATATTACCATAATTGGAAATTATTTCAAGTATAAGTTTACAAATTTGTAAATTAAAAGTTCTATATTTTAATTATCAGTATGAACACTAATTGCTTTTGATAAATAGTAACCTAATATCAAAACAACAAACTAATTGAACTAGTAGCTAATTGGCAATCTTTATGCTGTTTGCTTGTCTTTGAGAAGACATGTTTATCAAATAAAAATAAATTTCTAAAAATTCATGTTTATTTAGAATGCAATGAAAAAAATACTATCAAAACGTTTTTTAAAAATATCTATTAAGCATTTAATTTAAAATTTAAGACAAAACATTAAAATCACTAAATAAATTCCAAAGTTGATCAAGCAATACAAAATTATCTCAAAGAGCCTCACGTAGGCTAATACAGGAAACTATTCTGCTTTATATTGGCAATTCTTTTAAAACAACTTTTAAAATTGCTGAATATTGTTGTATACATTAGGGCATTTTAATCATTTTTCACATAATTTTTGACCATTTTAACTCATCAAATTAGTGCTTTTTAAAAACTAATCTTTGAAACATGCACATCAATAATACAAAAACATCATTTTTGGGGTAATCTGTCATAGATGTGTTGGACTGTCTGTCCCTCACCACCCAGCCACTTCCATTGTAGACCTGGCTATATCTGCAATAGGTATAATTTTAAAAAATGAGTGCACACAAATTAAAAAAAATGAAAATAATTTAATTTCTAATTGCTAATCTTTATGAAAAATAGCAGTTTAATTGCTTACTTTTAAACTAAGTCTTGTTTAATTAATTTAATTATAGCCAAAAACAATTCTGATATCAGAAAGTTTCGCTATAAAATTTAAAAAGAGCTATGATTTATTGTACATTGATACAAAAATGTATGTAAATAAAAATAACATGCTAATAAATTTGTATTATTGATTAGGAGCACTTAAAATTTTAAATAATTAAAATTAAATTAAAATAATTAAAATTAATTAAAATAATTTAAAAAAAACACTAAAAAATCTCTATTTGTAGACCCATTTAATTTTAAAAATGATTTTCTTTTTCAAAACTACAATGTAATAAGATTTTCAAAAAGTAACAATTATAATAATGGATATCATTTAGAGATTTAGCAGATTTGAGAATTAATGCAATTTAATTTTTACTTTGAAATGCATTTTATTGTCTACCAGTCATTTAACAATAATGAATTTTCACATACAGCAAGGAGTTATTGCAACTGACAATTACTGGCTTACACTAATACTAATCCAATAATGAAAACATTTAATGAATCTTAAGTAGTACAATGCTTAAAAACAAAAAATTATTCTATGACTCAGTACAATTGTTTGAAAGTAATTAATTGTAATGAAATTGTTTTGTTCAAATCTAATCCTTGTGTAAACTTAAAAATTAATTTGAAATAGTAACCTGTTATTAAAATTCTATGCAATTAGACATAAGTTAATTTTAAAAACTATTAAGCATTCAAGTTTATAATTAATATTAAAAAACAAACTATACACACTTAAAAAATTAAGTATTTAATTCAAAATTGATTTAATCTCTGAATAAAAGTTATTCCTTAAATCAAAAGCAACAATAATTTATACATAAATATTTTATAAATTGAGAAAAGCTACTACAGTGAAATGTTGATATAACGAAATTGAAGAAACCATCAAAATATATGCATTATACTGAAATTTCATTATATTGAAACAGTCAAAAATGCAAGGATAAAGAAATTTATTGATTAAAAAAAAAAATCTCTTTTGTAGTAAGGAAGTTTTTAAAAATGCAATTTATCTATTAGTATTTATATGGAACCAAATTTCACATTTTCAGAATGTAAGGATATATTAAATTAGAATGAAAATTAATCCATAATAAAAAATTATCAAAAAAAAATCACGAGTAAACAACTAAAATAACAATATAGTAGTACAAATTAGTTGGAATCCTGCCTCTTTAATTGTTATTTCTGTTTGAAGCCGTTATTTTCTGTTAAAAGAAGTCTAAGTCTTGTGTGTGTTTTCTTTAAAGTTTTTTTTGATAAAATCCAGTCCTGTGACACAGCATTCCAATAGACCATCAGGCACATCTTTTGTTTTTATTCTTTTTTGAGCATTATCTAATATTTTATTCTCCTCTTCCAAAGAAAACTGCTTTTGTTTTTCTCCATTTTTTCTTGTAAACTTAAAGAAATAAAATTTAGAGTAATAATATCAAAACAAAACCATAACTAAAAGATTAAAATTTGTGTTGCCAGTTGAACTAGACATTAAAATTAATGTTGCCAGACTTTTTGACATAATATTTATCATTTACTAATAATGAATGATTTATGCATTTATAGATTTCATTATAATGAAACTATTATTTTGTAATGAACAGAATTTTTATTATGTTAAACTGAAATTTTCATTATAATGATACAGTAGAACCTCCATTATCCGGATTGTTCAAAATAAACAAAAATTTTACGAATTTGCTGATTTGCACTTGGCGAATTACGATACTGTTTATGTACGTGATGGAATGCATAACTTTTTTTGTTTCAACAACGTCTCACCCAGCACAGTGGTCGTAAACTCTTAAATATATTTTACGTAGTAATAAAAATATAACTTGACATACGTATTTATAAATAATTTATATTCAAATTACATCATTTCTATGACCAAGGGCGGCGTAAGGCATGG